TTGTCGGAGATATATCTGAGGTACTTATGCCCGTTTAGATCACTACAAGAGAGGCGAAGACGGCTATGTAAGATTTGATTCGTTCGTTGGCCGATGTAGTAATGGATTGGTTTTGTCTTTAGATTTAAGTGAAGATTTAAATGCGGGTATGGATGGAATAAATTTTTGGGAGTCTTGTAAAAGGTTCCAGAGGCGTATAGATGATGGAATAAAGGATTTGTAAAAAAGATCAGTTCTGCAAGCATATTCATTCAAATTATTAATGTTTCTCAGATTGTAGGAGGACTGTCTATATTCAAGGAGATCAGATAAATATTGCGGATGTTGTTAAGTATTTTATAAATCATTACTAATTTATGCCGCCTTCTTCTCTCCTGTAGTGATATAAATCCTGTTTCTTCGCATAGTAGTTGGTGGCTGGTACCTTTCACTACCCCACAGATTGTTCGGAGTACATCTAGTTCGAGATTTTCTAATTTGTTTGTTAGTTCGGCAGTGCACCAATTCCAAATTATGTCGCAGTAGTCGAAGTGTGGGAGAATAAAAGAGGTATATATTGTATATTTCCTGCTAAGTCGGTATTTTAAAGATCTGATACAATCAATCATCCTGCCGGTTTTCGATAAAATAATGTTTATGTGCAAATTCCACTGACAATTGTTTTGAAATGTTAGGCCTAAATGCTTATGAAATGAAACTTCTTGCACTGGTGTTTTATCTAAGTTCAAAGTTGGTAGTAGAGGGTTCGATTTAGTAGTAAGTGCAAGTGTTTCTGTTTTTAAGGGATTGAAGGATACCAGCCATGTTTTTGCCCAGTTATTGAAAAAGTCGGATATTAGATTTGATTTGTTTCACAATATCGTTAATATATATAAGGAATAGTAATGGTCCAAGGACAGAGCCTTGTGGAACACCAGCTGGGACTGTTTTAGGCTCAGAGGAAACTCCACTTAGAACTACTCTTTGATTGCGATCGAATAAATAGTTTTTAAACCATTCAAGTAGGTCTCCTCTGATGCCCACAGCCCCAAGCTTATGACAGAGCCCAGCATGCCAAACTCTGTCAAAAGCTTTGCTGATGTCACAGAAAACTGCCCTTGTATATGAGTTTTGGTGGATGGCTTGACAAAAATAGTGAGAGAGATTTATTAGTTGAAATGTTGTTGATTTGCCGTGAAGAAAACCGCTTTGCAGATTAGTAATAATGGAGTTTTCCCTCAGGAAGTTAAAGACATAAAGGTCGATAATTGCTGAAGTCAGATGGTTCGCCTTTTTTTAGAATTTCTGTTACGTTGGCAGATTTCCATAGTGTAGGTACTTTTTTTTAAATTAAAAGAGAGATTGAAAAGAGTACATAAGGGGACACTTATATCAGACTTGATTGATTTCAATAAATTACCGCTTATGTTATCTGGGCCTGTTGCTTTAGAAGTATCAATATTAGAAATTAGTCAACTTCCTGAGTGATAATGTGTATGTGGCAGGGTGAATTTGAATTTTGTTCTATAACCGGAAGTTGTGCATTCATGCTGTCTAATTGTGATTGAGCTATAAAGAACTTGTTCAGGTAGTCTGCTTTGTCTTTCGGAGTAAAAGATGGGACTCCATTATTGACAAGCGGTGGTAAATCCCCTTTAGGGTTTTGTTGCTTTGTCACATATGCATTTATAAGATTCCACCAATTTTTGCTTCCAAACTTTTTGTCATCGTTTATTTTCTTATCGATACTTTCATAATATTCTCTTTTTCGTTTTCTAATGATGCCAATATATTCGTTTCTGATTTTCCGGAAATTTTGCCAATCTCATTCTGATTTTGATTTAAATGCCTTTTTATCAAATCTGTTTTTTTTGTACTAATTTTTCTGATGTTATTGCTCATCCATGGTTTGTCTTTAGGTCTAATTGTTACTGTCTTATTTGGTATGTTGCTTTTGGCCAAACTAATTAATTCATATGTGAAAATAGCTGTAGATTTTTCAATGTCAGTTATGTCAACAATTGAATCCCAGATTTTACTCTTAATGTCCAGTTGAAGTTTGTCAAAGTCGGCTCTTTTATAATTCCAGATAGTTCGTTTAAAAGATGATAGATTCGAGCAGTTGAAATTTAGACAATACACAGGGCAGTGGTCGCTAACAATGTTTGCTAGACATCCAGATTCTGTGACATGCCAATTACAGTTTGTTAGTATAAGATCAATTAAGGTTTCTGTTTCGTTTTGGATAATTCTAGTAGCATCTGTTATCAAAAGTTTAAGATGGAAAAGGTGAATAGCATCATTGATAAAGGCATTTTTTTGTTTAAGAAAATCTATATTGAAATCGCCAAAAATTAAAATATTTTTAACATCAGAGTTGAAGCCAGGGAAAACGAATTAAAAATAGCATTATTAATTTCTTTGTGTGAGTTTGGGGGTCTGTAAAAGGTACCTATTAAGAAAGAGGTTTTATTCAAAATTGTCTCTATCTAGATGCCCTCTGTATTGCCAGTCTCAAGTTCAGCCCTACGCTTAAAGAAATAGTTATTACGGATATAGAGAGAAATACCACCGCCCCGCCCATCTAGTCTGTCCTTCCTTATTGGTGCATGAAAACCATCGATATAAAGGGTGTCCACCGAGGTGTAAATTGTTTCGGGTCCATTTAAACCCCAATGTTATTCTTTTGTCCGGACCATTTTGTATTGGGAAGATGCGCAACGAAGTGCTCTTTTCATATCCAAAAAGCAGTGCTTGGAACCAGCTTCATCCATTTCTGATCTTACCCTAATAGAATTTTCACAAATGGGGTTAACCCCAACCTTAACCCTGGAGTTAACCCACTCTAACACTAGGTCTCAGTGGCCCAGTGGTTGGCGCACTTGCATGAGAGCATTGGGGTCCTGGGTTCGACTCCCTGTCAATGCTTTTTTAAAATTCTTTTTTTTTGCTAAGTCAAACACCGTCTTTTTATATTATTTTAAGTATGCCCAAGAGGTTTGTGAAATGTAGAATGGCCTAACCCTAGCTAAAACCAAATAGTTCACATTACCTTCTCTGGGGCCACCGGATATAAATTGTTTCAAGCCCATTTAAACCCCCGTGTTAGTTTTTTTTCCGGACTATTTTGTGTTCAGAAGATCCGAAGTACCTCCAGGTTTAAGAAGTGCTCCATGTTTGTCCAGTAGATGCAAAACATGTCCCTTTATATCAGAAACTCATTATTTTGTAAGCAACTCTACGAATAAAAGGTACCCGATCCAGGAACATCTAACATGTGAACATTCGAATGTAATATATTTAATTTCATGCAAGAAATGCCCCAAACAATATGTAGGAGAAACTAAGAATAATTTACGAACTCGCTTTAATGCTCATAGGTCAGACATCAAATTAAAGAAAGACAAGCCTGTTTCTAATCATTTCAACCTCGACGACCATTCAATAGACGATCTCGCCCTAATCCCAATTGAACGTATAGAAATTGACTTGCCCGAAGATGAAACTACCAAATTCCGTCAATCTAGGGAAGCCCATTGGATTGAGACATTGAATACAGCAAGACCCCATAGGACTAAATATTCATCATAATGTAGGCATAGCACCCTTTGTTGTCCCGTTTAATACAACAAGCAATCGAGCAAGCAAGATAATTCATGCCTACTATAAGAGCCTTCAAGAGAAATTCCCCCATGTCTATAAGCAGAAAATGATAGTTGCATATTCAAAAAATTAGAACTTAAATGATAATATTGTTCATAGTAAACTAAAAACAATCAGCACATAACAGATACTATACTTCTCGCCCATGGGGCGAGTTATTTTTCTAATTTCAGATCAGAAAAAGAACAGAAGAAAACCCAATATCAAGACCCTTAATCCTAATTTCTAAATAAAGTGTCTGCTCCACCCTAGGCCTGTACATTTGGGAGAATCAAACCCTCCCTTCCCCGAAAACCAAATACGTGCCGAGGGCAAAATCAAAGTATCAACAAACCAAATAAGTATAATATATATACTAAGCCTTCTAGGAGAGGCTTAATGGCATGAAGCTTGTTAGTGTCTGCAGCATCCCATCTTTGCTGCCATCGATGTTGATGTCCGTGCCAGGCCAGATCAGACAATTTATTTTGACTTTGGTATATTTTATTTCATTTTATATTTATATATTTTATTTTTTTTTTGTATATATTGTATATGTTAGGATTTTGACATTTGTTTCTCGTGCATATAACAAACTTTCTTCAACAAAATTTGCATTAATCTTTTAATCTTACCAAGTAAATTTAATTGCCATTATTTATGTTTCTCTTTCGTGTGAATTATACTCCGAGATAATCCATCCATTTAAATTACTACTCGGGTATAATCAAAATTCAAAGTTACTTCTAATCAATTTACAATTCACTAATCCCGCTTATTTTATCAAATATTTCTCATGTTTATTTATTTTATATTTTTGTATTCTTGATTTTATGTTTATTTATGTTTTTCATTTATGTAAATTGTACTCTGAGATAATCTAATCCTCCTGAATTATTACTCAGATATAATCAAAATCTAATCCAATATTTCTATAATCCTCAATTGATCAAAGATATGACTCAACTAATTAAGAAATCAAAAATAATCCTAATCCTCAACTGATCAAAGATATGACATGATTCACTCAATAACTTTTATAAAAACAAAAACCTGTATTAACTGACTACTATATAAATCGCAAATTCAACCTCATTACATAATCATTCCTCGACACTTGAAAAAGGATAATATTTCGAAAACCGGTTCGTGACAATTGCGTAAGTTTTTGTTTTACTTATTATAATTTTTCACATCATTGTTAGCGTTATTTATCACCTAAATATATATTTTTGCATTTTTCACATCATTTTAGCGTTATTTATCACCTAAACCCATATATTTTTGCATTTGATCCCCACATTTTCACGCTAGCATATACAGTTTCCTCCTGTTACATCCGCTGTTCATTCCCTTTCTAACCTCAAGTTATTTTCATTATGCTCCCCAACTACAACAACCACTGGCAAGAAGCCAGACATAGAAACACTAATCGTCAACCAAACCAATATCACGTACCCTACAACGGCCCTGTCTTCCATCGACCTCTACCACCTACCAATCGCCGACCACCAACCAACCCATCCAGCTATATCACACCCCATCGCCGACCTACCCACAACACCTACCAATCAAGAGGTAACCATCGACCTGACCAACAACAGAAACGACTACCAGTCCACCGACGCCAACCAGTCCCCACTCATAAGGAGGAAGAACCTTTTGTGAAGGTGTTCTTCCAAGTTTTGCAGTGCCTCCATCATTTGGCAATCCGTACCCTTCAACAGCAAGGCCAACCAGCGTTTACCTTCAAACGCAAAGTCTCTGAGTTGGATAGTTTTATCCGTCCAGCAATGAAAACATCAGCTGTTGACGCGAATATAAGATCCCTCAGTCGGACATGGCTCTCTAAGGTTACGCAGGTCCTGATCGACCATTACCAAACCACACTTCATGAGAAGCTGACCACCATTCGTACCAAGTCTTTATCATCAGCTGCCGTCGACCGCATCGTTTCTCATGCCCTGTCCTGGGCCCGTCACTCCTATGGGAAACGTCTCACTCAAGCTGTAATCACCAAGTTCTACCAAACAATCTACGAAACAAAAACCAGAGTAACCATATCTCTACCAACTGAAATGGACACTACACCTGCACCATCTAGAGCCACGACGCTGCCGAACCAAACCCCTAAACGAGCCCGAAGTTCACCTACTCCTAGTCCAGCAGACATAGGTAAACGCTCTCGTAGAGAGGGCACTCCCCTTCTCTTTTCACTTTCAGACTCGTCTTCCCCTTCCACACCATCTGAATCTTCACCGCGTGATCCAGGATCCGCCAACCTTTCTTCTTTCTGTGCGTTTTTGGACCAGCAAACCACCCCTCAGTCTCCATCGAAGTCGAGACGTATATCCAGACCTTTCCCCCTCGAACCAGATCCCAGTCCGTTCCCAATGCTACAATTCTAACAACTACCAAACCAGTACCAATCACACCGTCGACGACCATTATATCCGCTACCAAACCGTATTATCACCAAATCATTGACAAATCATTATGGAAGCTACCCGCTCTAAAGAAATCTACCTTAATTATTGGATCATCTAACCTGAATCGAATTACCAAAACCAGTTCAGACACTGAAATACATTCTTACCCCGGTGCCCAAATCCATCACATACAGTCAATCCTGGAATCATACGACCATGATCCCAAACCTACTACCATTATTCTTCATGTAGGCCTCAACAACCGTGATCAGCTACCCTACGAAGAAGAATTCGAACCAGTTGATAATCTTCATTGGTCTCCAGAAACAGCAAACAGCATTTATTTGTTTTGGATACACCAGCTTCAAGCATCGAGTAAGTCTTTAAACTAATTACTGGGGATAAAAATACTGATAGGCCACCGCTAGGCCAAACTGTAGTTAACTTGAGCCGCAAAATTCTCACACCCCTTCAGCATTCAATCTTAGACCGTGGACTTAAATTTATTCCCGCACCAAAGATAGCTAACTTGAATTATCTCCGACCATCCATTCAACGATTTCAACGAAATCTTAGCTGCACATATTTTTTTCGAAACCACCCCCCACGTGGTGCTAGAACAATGTTTATTCCTAAATCCACGTGGACACCCCCTCAGACCGCCATCCATCCTGAAATATTGAAATCATTTGCGAGTATGAATAGCCAAACAGTGAACCTTTCCATAACACACGAAAAGCCTAATCTCACACGAGTGGAACGTGATGCGTTAAACTAACTTAAGAAAGACGATAGCATTGTTATTAAAAAGAGTGACACAGGTGTCATTCTGAATAGGGGGGATTATGTTTCAGAAGCAGGGAATCAACTGAATAATCCTAAACATTATGCCATTTTACCGAAAACAATTTTCAAAGAAACTGCTAACATGATTAACAATATTCTTGCCGATTTAGTCAAAACTAGTTATCTCAAACAGAAACAATATGACTATCTGTCTGCCAAACCTGATTGTCGCGAGAGACATTTGTACACTTTGCCTAAAATCCATAAGAATCCAACCAAGGAGTGGTTTATCTCGAATAAAATCCCTAAAGGCCGCCCGATTATATCTGACTGTGGTAGTGAGTCATATGCAGTGTCAGAATACATTGATCATTTCTTTCTACCTCTAGCATGTCAACATCGCGCCTACCTTAAAGACACAACCGATTTTGTCAATAAAATAAAAAATCTTCGAGTTCCCTCTAATGCTATTTTAATTTCTATCGACGTTTCTTCTATGTATACCAATATCGATAAAGCTACTGGTTTAACGGCAGTTCGTAAAGCTTTTAATAGAAACCCAGATCCAATCAGACCCGACGATGCAATTCTACAGCTTTTAGAGATTTGTCTTAGTCGAAACGATTTCACATTTAATGGTAAAACATATTTACAAACTTCAGGGACAGCAATGGGCAAACGATTTGCCCCTTCGTACGCAAACCTTTTCATGGCAGAGTGGGAACGTGAGGTGTTGCCCCTCTGTCCATTTGACCCACTTTTTTACGCTTTTTGGATGACATCTTTATGGTTTGGACTTATTCTATCGAACAGTTTTGGGAATTCTTTGAAATTCTCAACAACCACCATCCTTCTATCAAACTAACCGCAAACGTGAGTGACAAAAGCATAGACTTTCTCGATACCACAGTCTTTAAGGGAGATTCCATAGCAGAAACAAATAAACTGGATATTAAAGTGTATTTCAAAGAAACTGATACTCATCAACTCTTGCACAAGAGCTCCTTTCACCCAAAACATACCTTTTCTGGTATAATTAAGTCACAAGTTTTACGATTTCATCGAATTTGTACAAGATCTTCTGATTTCAACCAAGCCTGTACGATTGTTTTCTCAAAACTGAAAGAGCGTGGGTACTCTAAACGATTTTTACGAAACACCTTCCACCTTAGCACAGATAGCAGCTAAAAACAGACTTTATGCCGAAGTACCTCCAGGTTTAAGAAGTGCTCCATGTTTGTCCAGTAGATGCAAAACATGTCCCTTTATATCAGAAACTCATTATGGTACCCGATCCAGGAACATCTAACATGTGAACATTCGAATGTAATATATTTAATTTCATGCAAGAAATGCCCCAAACAATATGTAGGAGAAACTAAGAATAATTTACGAACTCGCTTTAATGCTCATAGGTCAGACATCAAATTAAAGAAAGACAAGCCTGTTTCTAATCATTTCAACCTCGACGACCATTCAATAGACGATCTCGCCCTAATCCCAATTGAGCGTATAGAAATTGACTTGCCCGAAGATGAAACTACCAAATTCCGTCAATCTAGGGAAGCCCATTGGATTGAGACATTGAATACAGCAAGACCTATAGGACTAAATATTCATCACAATGTAGGCATAGCACCCTTTGTTGTCCCGTTTAATACAACCAGCAATCGAGCAAGCAAGATAGTTCATGCCCACTATAAGAGCCTTCAAGAGAAATTCCCCCATGTCTATAAGCAGAAAATGATAGTTGCATATTCAAAAAATAAGAACTTAAATGATAATATTGTTCATAGTAAACTAAAAACAATCAGCACATAACAGATAATATACTTCTCGCCCATCGGGCGAGTTATTTTTTCTAATTTCAGATCAGAATAAAAACAGAAGAAAACCCAATATCAAGACCCTTAATCCTAATTTCTAAATAAAGTGTCTGCTCCACCCTAGGCCTGTACATTTGGGAGAATCAAACCCTCCCTTCCCTGAAACCTAATTGATTTTTCAAAATTAGGGTTAACCCTCTCTAACCTTAGGTCTCGATGGCCCAGTTGTTTGCAACTTACATTGCAACTTTGAGGTCTCGGGTTTGACTCCCTGTCAAAGCTAATCCTACCTATAACTAAATGGCCCACATTAACCTCTTTGGGTTAAAAATTGTCAGTATGTGGTTTAGTAGGAAATTGTTTAAATCAGGAAGAAAAATGTATGTGTTAGAAAGATAGAAGTTTAGCACAGTTGACAAATGCATTAAACAGATGCCAAATGGTAAGAGCCCTGGATTTGACTCTCTTACCCCCCAGTTTTAAATAAAATTTTGGAAGGAATTATGCCCAATTCTATATAATGTTGTACAAAATATATATGCTAACAAATCATTGACTAGAACAATGAGGCAGTGTGTGCTTACTTTGATCTATAAAAAAGGGAGATAAGAGAGTCTTAAAGAATTATCGCCCAATATCACTAATAAATACAGACTATAAAATAATTGCTAAAATTTTAAGTTCGGGGTTACAGAAAATTGTAGCTTCTATATAGTCTCCCCTGAGCAGAGCTGTAGTGTTCCGGGCAGAAATATCTATGACAACATTGCCAGTATCCGAGACATCATCAGCTATGCAGAAGAGGTGAATATGGAAGCTTATATCTTAAAATTAGATGCAGCTCGGGCCTTTGATGTTTTGTCTAAAAATTATTTGTATGTTTTTTTAAGATATTTTAGATTTGGTGATTTTTTCATTGATTTGATCAAGAGTTTATACAATGATGATACATGTAGCTGTGTTAAAATAAATGGTCATTTATCTCCCTTTTTCAGAATGTTCACTGGTATCAGACCAGGAGATCCGTTAAGCAGTTTATTATATATCCTTAGTGCTGAGTCAATGAACATTATGGTAAAGGCATCTCCCCTTAAGGGTATATCAATCAAGTATAGCAATCTTACCTCAATTATTTTCCATTATGCTGATGATACAAATTTGATATCAAACAATATCCATTCTGTAAATATAGTATTTGATGTAATTGAACCATATTTAAAAGCCTCAGGTGCAAAAATCAATGTGGACAAATCCGAAATTTTACCTGTTGGTGCAGCAAAAGAAAAAGTACTAGACCTCACAATTCCACTTAAACAAGTTGACGGTGCGATAGAAATTTTAGGTGTTTATGTTGGCACTGATAATGATTTATGTAATGATTTAAACTGGAATGCCAAAGTTTTGTGAATTAAAAGTTTATTAGGGTATTGGAGTAGCCGCCAGGTTACACTTCATGGAAAAGTTTCAATTGTCAATTCCTTAATTATGTGAAAACTGTGGTATAGCCTGGAAGTTACTCAAATACCTGATAATGTAGCAAGGGAAATAACTACAGCTGAATAAATTTGTATGGAGAGACAGACCCCCATTAATTCAATATAGTTACTTCATTAATAGTAAGAGTAATGGGGGCCCTTGCTCTCTTTGATATTAACTTAAAAGCACAATCATTAGCCTTAAAGTGTTTTATAAAGTATTATGATGATAATTTTCATGCAGTTTGGAAAGATATTATGAATTTCTTCTTTTTAAAATATGGTAACCTTAATTTAGGTCATGATATCTTAAAGATATATTTTCATCATAAGTTTTTGTTAAAGTTACCTTATTTTTATCAATATATACTTTTTTTTTTTGTAAACAATATTTTATTCCTAAGAAAAGGATTGGAGAAGAGGCTTACGCCTATGAAACTTCCTCTCCCAACTAATCATACATATTTTTACCTTGTCAAATAAACAGATATTTAAACATATATACATATATACACACTTCGCTACAGATGCACTTAAATAATAATAATAATAGTGATAATAATAATAATAATAGTATCATCATTGCTTGATAAAGACGAAAGAATCATCGTCGAAACGTCGCAAGTTATTTATTAAAGTAACTGTTATCCATATAATTCTGTTCGTGTTAATATCATCAATTACTAAATGCCACTCAAGGAAGTATATATATCTGGTGTTTGGATGTCAATTGCTTTGAGAGATTGTTTGAAGGCTGAGATAGACCGTTGTAGTTTTTGGTTATCTTGAAGTTGATTCCATTCTCTAATTGCTGGTGGTTTAAAAGAATTATAAAATATGTCTGTTCGGCAGTGATAGAGAGGTATTTGGTGGTTGTTTCTAAGATTATATTGTTTGTTTCTGGTAGGTATGAGATCTGAGAGAAAATTTGGAGTAAGATTATTGAGAATTTTGAACATTATGATTAGTTTATGCCTTCTCAGTCTCTCTTGAAGTGTGATAAAACCAGTTTCGTTGTATAACAGGGCATGACTTGTTCCCTTTACAGCCCCGCATATAGTCCCGAGTGCGTCTAACTGGAGATTTTCTAATGCAGTTGTTAGTTCCTTGGTGCACCCATCCCATATTATGTCACAGTAGTCGAAATGCGGAAGAATGAAAGATGTATAGATAGTTTGTAGTGATTTCTTATTTAAACGATATTGAAGACTTTTCAAACAATTGATCAACCTTTCAGTTTTTGATAAAATGTTCCCTACATGAAAATCCCATTTACAGTTTCTTTGAAATGTTAGGCCTAAGTGTTTGTGATAGATAACTTCTTGAATCGGTGTATCACTTAAATTCAGTGTGGGTAATATTGGGTTAATCTTATTATGAAGTGCGATTGATTCAGTTTTCAGTGGGTTAGAGGTCACCAGCCATACCCTGGCCCAGTTGTTTGTCTCAAGGTCACGATTCAGTATTGTTGCTGATGCATTCGGGTCATTAATTTTGAGGTACAGTGAAGTGTCATTCGCAAAAAGGCGTATGTTTGACTGTATGTTATAGACAATGTCGTTGATAGATATAAGAAATAAGAGTGGTCCAAGGACAGAACCCTGCGGTACACCAGCTGGGACCGTCTTGAGCTCAGAGGAGACTCCATTTAATGAATAGGTTACACAGAGGAAGGGATATATCAGAACAGATTGTAGTGAGCAGTTTTCCACTAATTTGATCAGGACCATTGGCTTTTGATGTATAAAGATTTGAGATCGTTTCTTTAACTTCTTGAGGGGTTAGTACAATGTGTCGGAGTGAATGTACATTTTGTTCGAGAGAAGGAAAATGTGCCCCGGTGCTGTCTAATTGTGGTCGATTAATAAGGAGGCATTTAAACAGTTAGCTTTGTCTTTCGGAGTAAAGCATGAGGCACCATTATTGACAAGAGGAGGAAGGTCCACCTTTGAATTTTGAGTTTTCCTCACATAAGAGTTGCCACCAGCTCTTTATGCCAAAGTTTTCTTTCTCATTGATGTTTTTATCTAAAGTTTCAAAGTATTCCCACTTACATTTCCGAATAAGGTTGATGTATGAATTTCTAATTTTCCTGAATTTTTGCCAATCTTCGTCAGAATTCGATCTGGTAGCTTTTTATGGATCTTGTTTTTCTTTCTTCCTAATTTCCTTATCGAGTTGTTAATCCATGGGTGGTCACGAGGCCGAATTGTAACTGTTTTATTGGGTATATTCTTTTTGGCTATGCTTATAAACTCTGATGTAAAATCAATATATACTTAGATCATGGGGTGCTTTAAATCTGAATTCAAGACCAAATCCATGTAACATAAATGATGTATCCGTCCAACCAATTTTTCATAACCCACTTATACGCTATAATGGCAAAATGTTAGCACATGTTATCCCTGGTTTTTTGAAAACACACTCCATAGTAGACATGTGTCAGGAATTTTATCCAGATATTAATGTTGACATGATAATCAAATATTTTAATGTTATGAAACTTTCAAGTCCCAAAGATTGGTATAAAATTATTAATACACAACAGTATACTGGCAAACAAATTGATGAATATTTCATTATTAATATTAAGATTGCAATTAATCAATTCACTGGTAAATGGATATATTCAATGTTTTGAAGTTTGTTTTGTATTGAACCTTAACGTGTTTATATTATGAAAGACTTAACTATGATATCAATTGGACTGCTACATGGCAAAATGTTTCAGATAACTTCAAAATCCTTAAAATAAAAGATCTAGATTACAACATTGCACAATATTCTTTGGATAAAGTTACATAAATTGGCAAAGTAAGTGTTGATCTTTGTCCAGTATGCTTAGAGGACCCTGAAGATATTACACATATGTTTTTTTCATGCCTTGATTGTAAACTTTTAATCAGATTAAGAGAAATTATATTAAATGATATACACTCATGTCATGTTTCAAATTCTGTTTTAGAAATTTATATGCTCTTCGGTTATCAAACACGTTATAAGTCTCAATATTATAATTTGTGTAATATGCAATTCTGTCCTCAGCATGTTATGCACTATACTAACGACGCCTGATATCATTGGATCACCCAAATTGTAATATTGATATTATGGCTGACCTATTTACCTCACATGAATCAAATTTTCCGTCTGCTAAACCAAAAGCAATTGGTGCCGTAATTGTAAACTTTTTAATGCTATTGTTCAACCTAATGATACCTTATTGATAATTGATTCTTGCAAGTATTTCATTATTTCATCCAAATTTAATTTGCTATTTTCGATTTATTGAAAGACTCTGCTTTAAATATGTATATATACTAAAAAAAAGAAAGAACACTCTTTTATTCTTTTACTCAACTGTACATAACTCTACTGTAAGAAAGGATTTAAAATAACAAAAATATTCTTTTAGTATTTTAAATATTGTAATATAGCAATCGCAAAGGTTCTCTGATTGAATGAAATCTTATGTTAATGTAAATGTGACAGTATGTATTATATCGGAATAAATATATTTTTATAAGAATAAAAAGCACTTTCATGGCAACTTTGAGGTCTCGGGTTCGACTACCTTTCAAAGCCTTTTAAAAATTCTTTCAAACACCTTCTTTTCCATCATTTTAAGTATGTCCAAGAGGTCTATGAAATGTAGAATGGTCTAACACTAGCTAAAACCAAATTGCCCACATTAACCTCTTTGGGACTACCGGGGTATAAATTGTTTCGGGCCCATTTAAACCACTGTGTTTTTGCGGACCATTTCATGTCTGCTCCACAATAGGCCTGTACATAGGCCCTTCCCCGAAACCTAAATGACTTTTCAAAACTATGGTTAATCCCAACCTTAACCCTAGGGTTAACCCTCTCTAACCTAAGGTCTCAGTGGCCCAGTGGTTTATGCACTTGCATGGCAACTTTAAGGTTTCGGGCTCGAATCCCTTGTTAAAAGCTTTTTTTTGGAGTAACCACCGACCTGACCAACGACAGAAACGACTACCAGCCTACCGACGCCAACCAGTCCTCACTCATAAGGAGGAAGAACCCTTTGTGAAGGTGTTCTTCCAGGTTTTGCAGTGCCTCCTGTAACAATATTGACCTAATGAGCCTCTTGACAATATTGTGGTGCATCGCCGGTGCCGAACATCAGATTAATTACTTATATTGCCCAATCGTCTGTGCTTATCTTACTAATGGCTCATCATTAAAGTTTATGTTTATTTTTCTCTGCGCTCCCATGCTGCTCCAAACCGCCCCAAACCATAATTTAACACCTCCATCACTTGGCTATCGTTACCCTTCATCAGCAAGGTCAACCATCATTTACCTTCAAACGCAAAGTCTCTTAGTTGGATAGTTTTATCCTCCCAGCAATGAAAACATCATCTGTCGACGCGAATATTAGATCCCTCAATCGGACATGGCTCTCTAAGGTTACGCGGGCCCTGATCGACCATTACCAAATCACACTTCAAGAGAAGCTGACCACCATTCGTACCAAGTCTTTATCATCACCTGCCGTCGAAGGGATAGGGAAAGAAGATTTCTAAAAAATAGCCTGGACTACATAATGTTTTAGTGGAGTGGGTCCTATATATTTAATGTATTTTCACCAGTTACGTCCATTAAACTTTGTAAATTCGATGTCAAGGCACAATTTCTTTAGATAGCGCGTTCCTAACACCAATAGTACAACCTTCCCTCGCCGATTATCGAGTAGTAGGCTTAACCCGTTTCATAAAAGAATGGCCAAAACACATCCGATCTCGACAACTCTTATAACTAGTTAAATTGGATTTTCTGTACATTATCAAGTAAAATAAAAACCAATTAGGAGATAAATTGCACAGTTTTGGAATATATAATGACAACACTAATATAGAGAAAGAAATAAGTGCTCTAAGAATAAGAAAATTAATTTTTTAGTAAGAAAATCAATTAATGTACACCTGTATTTTTATACGCCCACGTGGAATGGGGGGCGTATATTGCACCTTTTTCCGTCGGTCCGTTCGTCCACAATTGCTCGTAAACACTCTACAAGGCACAATTCTTGACTGATTTCGACGAAACTTGGTATAGTTGTTTGTATTCTCCCAAGGATGAACCCTATTGAAAATCAGACGAATCGAAAAATATTTACTATGAATTATTGCGATTGTTCTTGAAACTCTCGTAAACACTCTAGAAGGTGCAATTCATGACGGATTTTGATGAAATGAGTGTTCGTTATCGCCCAAGGATAAACCCTATCGAAAATCAGAAAAATTGAAAAATGTTTAGTATGAGTTATTGCCCTTGTTCTTGAAAACGCTTTCAAATTTAGCTTGTAACTACTCTAGAAGGGACAATTCTTGACGGATTTTAACGAAATTCGGCTTGAGTGTTGGTTATCACCCAAGAATGAACCTATTGAAAATCAGAAGAATCTAAAAAATATTGAGTATGAGTTATTGCCCTTATTCTTGAAAACGCGTGCAATTTTTAGCTTGTAATCACTCTAGAAGGCACAATTCTTGACGGATTTTGACGAAACTTGGCATGAGTGTTGGTTATCACCCATGGATAAAGCCTATTAAAAATGAAAAAAATCGAGAAAATATTTAATATGAGTTATTGCCCTTGATCTTGAAAACTCGTTCAATTTGTAGCTCATAAAAACTCTAGAATGTATGATTCTTGCCGAATTTTGACAAAACTTGGTTTTATTATTCATTACCGCGCTGAAGATTGAATATTTGCCTTCTAGAGTTTTCACGAGCTACATATTGAACACGTTTTCAAAAATTAGGGTAATAACTCATACTCAATATTATTCAGTATCGCCCTTAAGAGTTCAAAAGAAGTGTATGACTGAAGGTTGAATATTTCATACTGCTGATTGTTACTGTACTGCTAAATATTTATGTTCAAAATAAAAGCTGCCAGTGGGCGTATATTATCGTGCCTGGCAAGCTATCTTGAACAAGTTGATTTAATAAAATAAAAATTGCGATGTATAAGTATACTTGTATTTTCAGTAGATTAAGCTGTTTACTTTTCATTTTAAAAAGTGTTGCTATTTTAGTAGCCTTTTTGAAATTAACTGAATCAAATCTGAAAATTGCAACATGTAATATTTAGTTAATTTTAGGTCTCAGCTGGATGATTCACACAGTTATATATTTGATTTCATTCTCAAATATTCTTTTGAAGGTAATCAGATTTCCTTTTACATGATTAGGCATGTCACATAACTGACAAACGAATGGACAAGCAAACAACAATCCAGCTTGCTACCATGATCTAAGCATGAGCAATCCCACTTATTAATTTAAGGAATATTAAGATTTATTCATTAGATTTAGTCCAATAAATATTTTTCAAGATCTAAATAACAAAGTCGTAGATCTTGACCTATTTAAATGTTCATTTCATGTCTGGCTAGCCTATTTCATATGATTTCTATTTGTTGGATTTTGAACATGATGATGCAAGTGGAAAGGTACCCTTTTTTAAAAATAGGAACAAGTCAAGACAAAGGCTAACAGGGCTTATAGCCAGTAGGGTAAGCTGTGCCAGTCAGACTCAGTCTTGGTTCGGGGTATCGTGGCTTAGTTAGGCGTCTTAGCCCTTAAGCGGGTGTCAGACTTAGGCTTCACCTTGAAATTCATTTCTAATGTCAACAGGAGTCAGAGGCGATACATGTATTTGGTGTAATAGATGAGTCCCCAAAAACTTAATTTAGACAATAGTGAGTCAGGATCAGCTTGCAGAGTTTGTCTTGAGCATTCAAACTTGGTGTCTCCTACATTTAAAATCAGGCGATGGTTCTGTTGGTTTGCCATGGTATCTAAAATAGAGAAGTGGCTCGTCTTTTCTTGAGATTGCTATATTTAGAAGAGACATTATATAGATAGCGAAATTCGTAGTTTGATGTATTTTTGAACGAATTTTGCGATTT